ATGGAATGATTTGTGAATTTTGCAGAGGCTGAGTAATGGGAGGTATAAAAATGTGTTGCATAGAACGACGGTGGATAAGGATAAGACGAGGATGTCGTGGCCGGTTTTCTTAGAGCCTCACCGTGAAATGATCGTCGGACCTTTACCGGAGCTTACCGGAGATGATAATCCGCCAAAGTTTAAACCTTTTGCTTTCAAGGATTACAGTTACCGTAAGCTCAATAAGCTTCCTCTGGAATGAGATAAAAAAAAAAACGTGAAGAAACAAATATTTGAAATTTTATCTTCTTTAATTTTCAAAGTTAAATTTGTGATTTTGGAATAGGAAGTGGTTGTTATCAAGTTGTTGTTTTCCCGCGATAAGAAAAGATCGTTGTGTCTCCTGTGTTCTCTGGTTATTTGTTATGATTAAATAAAAGGATTAATAAGACATCTACTACATTGATCTTTGATGTACACATGTTTTTTGTGTCCCCATTTGCCAAGCCTTTGCCAGTTATGTCGGACCATTTGTAGGAATCGGGAATTAGGTGGTAATTGGTATTCGTTTTTTTTTTCTTTCTTTTTGGTCAAAGATTAGTATTCGTTTTTCAACCAGAAATATCTAAAAAATTTGAAAGCAGTGTAGAAATCATTTTAATTAGTAATAAAAAAAACACTTCCCACCATTTATTCCGAATACATAAAGAAATGAGAAAATAATTGCATTAGGTGAAAATAATTTGCACAATATTACAAAGAGATCAAATGAAATATAATGTAATGGAGATCTTGATTCTCGAGCGACTTAAAACTATAAAAATTGTTACAAAACCTCTCGTTCAAGTTTGAGGACGGCCATGAAAGCTTCTTGAGGTACATCAACTCTACCTATGGCTTTCATTCTCTTCTTACCTGCCGCCTGTATACACATTGAAATCAAAATTTAAATTGAAAAAAATAAAAACATGTTACGGTCACTCGAAATTGCTGAATTGTAAATCACGGATTTCTCCCTTATCGAGCCTTATTCTTAGCAGAAAAAAAAGAGTACCTGTTTCTTAAGAAGCTTCTTCTTCCGAGAAATATCTCCACCTGAATGAATCATAGTAACAAGATCAGAGATGGCTTCGCGGGAACAAATACATTAAAGCGAAAGCTACTTCATTCTTATTTTTGAATCTGATTGACACCAGAAAGAGTGAAGAGAAGTTTCTGGTAATACAAGAGGTGCGAAGCGCTTAGGCTAAAACGGTTAAAGAGTTTCGATAACAAGCCATGTGGTGGCTATTTTATGCTTTAGTGAATGGAGGAAGGGAAGCAAGGGAATTGTGTAGTTACCGTAACATTTCGCCAAAACATCCTTTCTGATTGCTGAGAGCGCTTCACTAGCAATCACTTTTGTTCCTATACAAGCCTGTAAGTATATTTTTATGTCAAAAACATCTTCCTCGGTTTGTATATTCGAAGGCCATTGTACCAGACCCATTTGATCAGAAGTTAAGTTTAATAAGTTCAGAAGAGGAAGATCTAAGATCCAATCCTTCTGATGTGCCTTAGGCCCTCAGTGGTAGATTAAAAAATCTCCAAAGCATTCTTAGAAAACTACAAGTTATTCAGAAGAGAAAATAAATGATATAGAAAAGCTTAAATGTAAATACCTGGATGGGGACTTTAAACATTTGTCGCGGAATAAGCTCTTTGAGTTTTTGAGTCAAAGCTCTCCCAACAGAATATGCCTGAAAGTATAGTTCAAAAGGATTCCACAGTACTGTGAGGACATGACTCATATAATTCAATGCTAAATACTAAGAGACGTGCTCAAGTCAACAGTACTAAGAGGTTTAAGCAAATAGGAACAGTTTCATAAAGCTTTACACTTAGAGAAGTGTGGAAGCACGCTAGGTTCACAAAATTCAGATTAAAAAGCTTTAATAACTAACCTTGTCTCTGTGTACAATGGTTGATAAAGGTTCCACAATTTCAGCATTAATCATAATATCGAGTTTTATCAGATCGCTTTCCCTGTACCTGCACACATATTATAAGAAATGAAGATGCTAAGAAAGACATAAAAAAGCTCAAAGGATACATAGATCTATTAAAGCTTCTCATATTACTTGTGGCTTTTGATTACTAAGAATAATATAGATTTTCATCCTTGAAAAAATAGCTGACGAGCTTCTAAGTTAATCACCTAAAACTGAAGGCCTGCATCACTAACTAAGAGATGATCTGTGCAATAAGGTTGGTGGAACTAACCCAATAACTGAGTACTCCATGCTCGCATATCCCTTGGTCCTGGACTTTAATTGATCAAAGAAATCTCCCACCATCTGCAAAATAGCAGGGACCAAATAACGAGAAGATCAGTTTACTTAATCAAGAGAGACATATCTAAAATTTCATAGTGACTATCTGAACTGTGCACAGGCAAAACCTCACCTCTGCAAGGGGTAACTCATAGAGGAGAGAAGCTCTGTTCTCAGCTATATATTTCATTTCTTTGAACTCCCCTCTCCTATCTTGAGCGAGCTCCATAAGCGCACCGATATAGTCTTTTGGTGTAAGCAACTCAATCTGTATAATTATCATTTTGCAGTAAGGATATGTAATTCTAAGAAACGTATCATGTGAAAATATCAGTAATATTTATGCAGCAGAAAAAGTAACCTTAACGTATGGTTCTTCGACTGATTTCCTTTGCCCCGGTTGTGGAAGAAGAGATGGGTTTGAGCACATAGTCTGCAGAAACATTAGTTTAAATGGTAGGAAGGCTCTAGGTATCAAGAAAGACATACACAAGGATACAATTCCAGGGAAGAACAATAATTAAAAGCGTAGGATCAAGAGGAAATTACAGTATCACCATTTACAGAGTGCACCCTATACACAACACTTGGAGCAGTGGTAATAAGATTTAAGTTGTATTCCCTTTCTAGCCTTTCCTGCAAAGAAGATGAACTGGAGCATTAGAACAGAAGCATGATATAATTGACTTTGTGGACTTCCATCAACTTATATCGGTTATCCATCCTATATACAATATATGGTGGTTATCCATCAGACAGGAAGCTGGATTAAGAAAAATTTGCATATTATTTATGCAAAAATCTGTCTATCAACTTATTTCGGTTATCGGTGTAGCATGGCATCAATCAGTAGGACGCATCAAAAACATTTTAAAACAAGAAGATCAAAACTTGTATGACCTGCACAATTTCCATGTGGAGAAGACCCAAGAAACCGCATCTAAAGCCAAAGCCCATGGCACTTGAAGTTTCGGGCTCAAACTGCAGGATTAACAACGAAGTTGAGGACAAATGTATAGGTGGATTTCAGCTAACGTAGTTGTTTTTTAATCCCTTGACCAAATGTGAATAACAATAGCAAAGATACATACAATAGAGTGGTATTATCTTTAATTATCCATTGAAAAAGGACCAGTAAAAATTACAGTCCAGCTCTTTACCAAAAAACTTCACATTCCCCTTTGAAGCAAACTGAGCATAGGTCTATATTGGCTAAGAAAAACAAAAGAAGATCATAGTTGTCTCTGGTGCCACAACCACATTTATAAATGCAACATGTTTGATGTCTATAAACCATTAACAGGATCAAGAAAGTATCGTATAGCAACAGTTTTCAGTCATAATAATTTCAAAACTCATTCCCCCCCCCCCCCACAAACCAAAAAGATTGAACGTCCCTAGTTGCTACTACACAACTTATAGTGGACAGACAAAAAAAAAACTTATTTTCTGTAGCTTCACTTTGCTAATACCTTCAACGCGGCATCATTCAGTTGCAGTTTTTCCAATGCATCTCGAAGATCCGGAAACCTGTCATCATAGACGACATGTGAAAAAACTTACATAAATAGAAACAAATGTCAGCAAACGAACAACAAAAGCTCAGTACTGGTCAGCGTCAACTGGAAACAGGCCACAGAACACCATAGGGGTAGCTTCCTCGTAACCAGGTAAAGAGCTCTCTGCCTTTCTGCTATATGTTGTTATTGTATCTCCTACCCTGGCATCTGCAACCGATCTTATAGAAGCAGAAATGTACCCCACCTGTAGTTAAAAACATTCAAAATATGTGCAAGGATTGAGGCATGATAGTCAGACAAATTTGATATACAGAAGCAGTATCAACAGCACATCTTTCTAGCTATTAGCACTTGAGATACGATGCAATTAACCATTCCCCATCAAATATAGCCAAACAAGAAAAGTGAAAACACATTTGCTTTATTGCATTCAAAATCTTATTAATCACAGCTCCATCTTCTACCAAAGCTGCTACAAGGAAATGATAAGGAAATCCTTCCATATAAAAATGCTTATAGTTTCCCTATTAACATGCGATGGAACGGAACCCAGAACTGCAAAAGAAAACTGACATCTTCATTTCGTAAAAAGCAAGGTTGCTGCTGAAATTTTCACCAGAAAATGGGAAATGAAAGCACAGGAAAGTATGAAACAAACAAAAAAATTATGTTCAAAGAGTACACTACCTCACCCGCATATAATTCATCCACTTGAATTTGATTTGGAGATAGAACGCCGATTTCATCTGCGAAATAGTCCTGCAATTGATGCAAAATTGATAACATGAGATACTGGTGAAACAAGAGAAAGCTTTTTTAGAAGACAGACTCTCAATTTTCCTGAAATAATTACAGAATAACACTGCACCCACTCTAACGAAATAGACCACGAAAAGTTGACATGCACGAATTACATTCAATTTTTTTTGGCATATGGAAAGCTAGCTTGATCAAGTGGAAAGACATCCAGACTACAGAGTAGAAAGAAAAAGAAAAAACCTTTCCGCTTGCCATGAAAAGAATTCTGTCGCCTTTCTTTACTTTCCCATCGATAACTCGAAAGTATACAATGACACCACGATATGGATCATAATAACTGCAGACAAATGTATTGTGGAAGAAAAATATAAGTAGTTAATATGTAAACATTGCACGTTTGTAGACTAATCAAGACATAAAGTGAATACTTCACACTCATTTTTAGTTTACCAGTGATAGGGCATAACTGGAACTGACTTGACAAGCCAATGAACAGTCCAATTATCATATAACAATACAACTTAGACTATATGTTTTGCCTCAATAATGTTCTAGAAAGGGTAAACGTCATTATGGATAAAAACAGCAAGTGCAAACCTGTCAAAAATTAAGGCTCTTAGGGGCTTTTCTACAGTATTGCGAGGTGGAGGTATCCTTTGTACAATTGCATTCAATATCTCTGTAATACCAATTCCCTCCTGTTTCAACCAAATATGCCCAGAAAATGTAATTATATGGATAGAGAGTCACACGTTTTATTTCTTTAAGTAGCAGAATAGCAAAATGATTTTAAAATCTAACCTTTGCCGAGCAGAGTATTGCTTTGCTACAGTCTAACCCAATAACCTACAAACAATCCGCATTTTCAAACACTATTCACATAAAGGCTGATGTCTCTGGAATAGCAGTAACGAGACATATATCACAGAGAAAAGTTTAACGGTTAAAATCAAGTACACTAAATATCAAACATAATATCTAATAGAAGCTAGAACCTTGCTGAATGTACTCATTAACATTTTGACAACAGGAACCATAAAAGACTGAGAAGAGTTCTTGCAGACACCAAAGAAGGAATACTATCACATTATAACTGGATGCATTGTATGATTGCTATTACCAACAAACATCATAAAATTGGACTAACCTCCTCAATCTCCCTGATAACTTGCTCTGGCTCAGCGCCTGGAAGGTCAATCTTATTCACAACCTGCATGAATGAGTAGAGTTCGTTGCTTTAAACTCTGGTATACAGACCAATTTGTTGAACAGGAAGAAAATAAAACTGCATTATGGTGTCCTGAATTGTCATGAATCAGATTCAAGTAATTACCAAACGTTAAATGATATCATTATCTTATCATAGACTAGCTATTCTTTTCTTCATTAAGCATCTTCTATGCACTGCTCGAGTGACGCTAGCTATTTTAATAACATGTTTGGCCTGAAAGTTAAACTTATTGTGGACTCTCACTTCTTGAAATAAAAAAAGGGCATTGACATCACTGAATAATTTACGAGACGAAGGAAAGATTGATGATAAGTACCACATATACAGATATACTTGAAATGATTTATTAAGAAGAAGAATATAAACACCAATAAGATGAAGCATGATTCCGTACTTACAGGAATAATTTCGAGGTTGTTCTCTAGAGCCAAATAAACGTTAGCCAATGTTTGCGCTTCCACACCCTAAATCACATGTTGGAGGAAGTACTTAGAAAGTTTTGTAGTAATGTACTTGGTCATTAAAAAAGACCGTAACAAATTCATCAAGCGAAAAAACAGCTAAAGCAAAAAGATTCCAGGTTTCCACACCGTGTCAGAAAATTGTATGTCAAGGAAAAGAAAATTCACCTGGGATGCATCCACAACAAGAAGAGCACCCTCGCATGCAGCAAGAGATCGGGAAACCTATTAAAAGAAGAAAAGAAATTAACACTGTATTCTTCATCAAAACTGCAACTTAATCATTTGTATTTTCTATAAAGATAAAAAGATTTAAGCTTTTAAGGTTACAAAATTTTGAAGATTCAAACAGCGAGTCCCAAGTAACTTCTTTAAGGTTAAGCTTTATATGTATCCAAGTAGACAATAAGTCTATGTTGGAATCAACGAAATTTCAGTGGATTAGAAGATTTAAGTACCTCGTAAGAGAAATCAACATGACCTGGAGTATCTATCAAGTTGAGGCAATATGGTGTATCCTCGTAAACATAACGCATTCGAGCTGCCTGCACTACGAATAACCTTATTGCTGAACAATCTTATGGAATCTTGTTTCAGTATATATAATTTACACTATGAAAAGAAATTCTTGATAGGCAAATGTATCAACTGATTGTGCAGAGAAACCAAAGC